TCCTATCCCCAGCATAAATCACACACAGCCCTCGCAGTAGCTTCAAATTGAAACCATGCTGGCACGCCGCACGATACAAGTCCATATGGTCGATGTGTTCATAGATTAAGGTCCAGAAGCACCGTCGCCGCCGAGGTCCCTAGGACTTTCCCGAAGTGGGCCAGCATGTTATGGACCCATCCTGCTCTCTCGCAGGTCGACGTGGCCCCGACGCCCCAGAAGAAGGCCTGCTCGTGGGCCTGCTCCCAGGTACGGCAGATGTTTTGACGACACTTCGACCAAATCTTGGTGAACATGCACAATAATCCTATCGGGCGTACTCCACCATCTGGCTTATCAAGGAAGATGATATTCGTCAAAAACTCTGCAATCACACAAGGTCGATCTTCGAACGAGTGAAGGATATCAATAACACGCAACTGATATTCCTCTGGAAGAAACAAGATCTGGCGGGGATGGAAGGAGTCCCACCCAAGACCAGCCCCTTCCCCATGCGAGTTACACACGCGCCTCAACTGCTCCAATGATATGGGTGGCAATTCATGTCCCAACACATCCCAATGAGCTGGGTGATTTTCGCTGAGCCTGCCTTCTTTGTGCCGAAGGGGAAGCCATTGATCGAGAAGCTGGAGGAGCGCAAGCTCACTGTTGACTGGCAAGCGGCCATGGTCGTCTACGACACTGAACGGGACCGTCCTGTCTGCGCGAGAGACCCTGGAATAAGCATGAGCTGCCTTCCCTCCCCGCTGCACTGACGACTTTGCCCACTCCTTCCACTCCGACAGGGACTCCTTGGCGTCCGACTTGCGCAGGCCTTCTACATACTCTCGTAATTGCCCGAACAGCCCTTCTAACTCCTCTCTGAGCCCCATGGATATCCCTTCCACCAGGCTGATCAAAAAGCGGGCATTCGCGCCTTCGTCTGGCGCCTCCAGCGCCGAGATCATCCCGAACAGGGCGGCACGCCATTCGTGAAAAAGACCGCGTGCTCTGGCTCCTAGCATATCTTGGCCAACTGCAGCTGCACGACGAGCCAACGCCTCGAAGGACATCCAACTGGTGGTCCGCTTTGAATATCTCCTCCTAGACTCTCGGTCCCAAGCCGTCTCGAGGGGAATCTGTGTGACCTTAGGGCCCCCAGCTCTTCCGCACATCCTGGCAGCGCTAGCACTGTCTAGGTCGTGGAACTGCATGAGCCAGCCCTCAGCCTGGGTAAACCATTCCCTGACCATGGACCCCAAACAGTGCGAGCCACCTCCGACTTCCCAAGACCACGTGCTTTCAGTAGGGAGCCTCCGAGGACCCACAAGCTTGTCCAGGGGGAACTGCACATATCTAACCTGCTTCGGGACGACCGTCGACGGGGCCAGGTTCTTGACGACGATGCCCACAGGCACATGAGGCCACGAAGGGGCCGCTGGGAACGCCAGGACCTCCTTGACGCAGTGCCCTAAACACCTGGACCCCACGAAGAAATCGATCTCCCGCTCATCCTTCCTGTCGACCTCCTCCTCAGGCCCCGAACTGGTTCCTGGAGCGGGCCCTGCTCTACACGTAGCGCAGCCCGTCGTAAACATGCAGCCCCCAACCTTGGGCGCCCATTCCGATGCTTCAAGCTCTTCAGGAGTAAGGTTCCAATCACCTTGCACAATCCAGAGGCATTTTAGGGACTTGATGTACTCGCCAAGAGTGTTCAACAACTCAACATTGTCCCCTGTTACGCCAATGCTGGTGTAGAGGTAGACCGAGAAAACCATCAACCCACCTGGAAGTCCTACGTTGATGTGCCTGCTTGCCACGCGCGACTTGAAAGATTCCAACTCGGGTGGCCGTGGCACACTGGAAGACGCCAGGGAGCTGGCCACTGCCAAGCCTACTCCTGCCGAGGACTGCGTCGGACCTGCTCCCGTGGACGCTGCTGGTCCTAGAGAAAACGCGAAGGAGCGGCGATCACCCCAGCCGTAGGCGGAGTCCAACTTACCCTTCTCCTTCAGCCGAGTCTCTTGTACACAGATCACATGCGGCTTGACTGGTTCGCCTGAAGCCGACACCACGCCGAAGAGGTTCGCTTCCTGGTCCTTACACCAGTCTACCACATTGGTGAACGAGTCCCACGTGTTCGCGTTCACACCACAAATGATCAGATCGCTGACGATCGTGACCGGGTGGCCGACTCCACGAGCCGCGCCGTCCTGACCTAGGTTTCCCTTTCCGCGTCCGTCGCCAGGTGGGGAGGAGAGATGGTGCAGCCCTTTCCGCACAGAAGGTGTGTCTCCTGGAACACCGTCAAGGCTAGCTTGACGCCCAGCAGCTCCTGCCGCAGGTGGAAGCAGACCGCCGCATCCTTCCATGAAATCGCCCAGGCCTCCATCGAGAACACAAGGCCCATCGCTTCCAGATGCGACGCAAGCCTGCAAATCACCATGTCCATGCGATGCAATGAGGTGGTGCGGGCCTTTCCGCACTGTAGGTGCGCCACCAGCCGTCCTGGTACCACCGCCCGACGCGGTACCCGAAGCCGAGGGGGCCGCCGACCCCGAGGTGGTACCCGTAGGAGCTGTGGACTCGCGGGGATAGCCCCCAGCCCCGTTGCGACCGAGGGGTCCCACCTCGCGCGACATAACAGAAAGTGATGCCGTCGGGGTCGAGGTCGACCCAGAAGAAGATGTCCCTGGCCCTGACCCTCTTCGAGGGTCCTCGACCCGAGGGGGGGCAGCTTCGCGAGACCGTCCGTCTCTGTCCGAAGCTTCGTGGCCCAGGCGAGGCCACTGCCGTGGGTCCAGACCGACCCCGTCGAACTGGCGGAACAGCCCCGTGTCGAAGACAAGGTCGTTCCTCAGCACTGGGACTGCGAAGCCCGTCGCCTGCTCCCAGTCGAAATCGATCATGTTGCCACTTGCGAAGGCGTCGAGGTCGGCCATGCCGAAGTTCGCCCTCGCCGCAGGCTCGGGAGCACCAGACGCCACTGGGGCAGCATCAAGACGCGCAAGGCCGTCACCCTCGCCGCGCCTTCTTGGCCGTGTGCTCGGCGAGCAGTTTGGCCACGGCTGCAGACGTGTCCCCCTCGCCGCCCATGGCTCGCTTGAGGGGCTCCTGGAAGTCAGACTCCAGGAAGTCGGTCTCGTCCATGGGAACGGCCTGGTGCTCACCTCCAGCATCAGGGGCACCCACTGCCTGACCACCAGCGGCAGGATCGCCAGGAGGGCCTGGGCGACTGGCCTCAGCCTCTGCCGCCTGCTTGGCTGCCTCAGCCTCCGCGGCCGCCTGGCGCTGGAGCCCTTCAAGGACAGCAAGGGCGTCCTTGCCTGCCTGCGCTGACAGCGCAGCAGGCTCCAGCCCCGCCGTGAGCACCTTGAGAGGGTTCTCGTGCTCTCCTGCCTGGAGCTTCGCCAGCACGCCACGGGCTGCGACAAGGTCCGCCTTGGCCTGGTCGACCCCCTTCTGGATGCCGTCAAGCTCCTCGTCGAGGGCTGCCCTCTGCGCATTGATGTCAACGCAGCGGGCCTCTGCCTTCTGGATCTTCTTCTTGAGGTTCTCCACCTTCCACCAGGCAGACATGGTGGTGGGCGGCTTGGGCGGCGCCTCGGCCTTGGTCTGCGCAGCCGCCAAGACAGCAGCGTGGGCGTCCTCAAGGCCCTCACTCTTGAGGAACTCCGCCACCTGCTCGTGGGAGAGCCCCGCAGCAGGCGCTGGCGCCTCGCCCTTGGCTCTCGGCGAACCGCCTCCAGCTGGGCCCTGCCCCTTGCCGCCGCCCTTGGCCTTGGTGCCAGCAGGCTGCTGGTGCCATGGGTGCACTGGCGGCGCTGGCTCGCCGCTGAGCTCCGCCACTTTGACGCGCAACTCCTGGATGAGCCTCGCCTGCTCGGCCGCCACTGCCCCTCCTGGCGGCCCGTCGGCCCAGGCGCCTTGAGCTTGTGGCTTGACCGAGACCGAAGGGCTCTTGGCAGCCGCGGCAGCCCTGCGCGCCGCCTGTACCACCTTCGCGGGTGCCGATGCCCCGCAACTCCTGCACTTGATCCGACTCGCCCAGTTGTTCCAGCAGCCGCAGGAGCACCCCCAGTAGGGGGTGCGAGCGCCTGGCAGCACATCGGGCTGGGGAACCATGCGCCGCCTCTCGCAGACGCTTGGCTCCTTCGTGAAGAATGGAAGGCTCGTGCCCACGAGCCGCTTCGAAGTACGCGGGCACAAGCTCGAGCTTTTCACACAATCAGCTCGAGCCGAAACGGCTAGGATGAGGAGGGGGAGGAGGAGGAGGAGGAGGAGCAGCAGGAGGAGGAGGAGGAGGAGGAGGAGGAGGAGGAGGAGGAGGAGGAGGGAGGAGGAGGAGGGGAGGAGGAGGAGGAGGAGGAGGAGGGGAGGAGGAGGAGGAGGAGGAGGAGGAGGAGGAGGAGGAGGAGGAGGAGGAGGAGGAGGAGGAGGAGGTTGTGTCTCGTGTCCTCTTGCGTGTCCTGCCCAATCAGGTCCGAGTGCACGTGGACAGGCAGGATCGGCACGCACTGGGCCGGGCGCGAAGGAGCACAGGACACTCGAGCGCGAAGCACAGGGCTTCAAGGCGGCAGGGTACCTCTGCTCCGTCGAGTGCGGGTGCGTAGACTCTGCACTCGGACCGCGTGGGCTCGTGGCACAGGCTATCTGTGAGGAAAGTACTGCTTCCTGGATGACGCATCGCACCGAGGACGCTTACGGCCGGTAGTCGCCGCGGCTCCCTGCTTGTTCGAAACGCCTGCGTCGTAGGATAGGTAGCGGGCGGGTGCAAGCGAGAGGGATAAACAAATGAAGGTCAAAGCAGCTTACTACATCACACTTTCGCAATCTGGTCGGTCGTGGCACGTCGTCGTTGTCGGCGTCGCGAGCCGTCGCTCGTCAGCCGCCCGTCGCCAGTCGCCAGTCGCCAGTCGTCGCCGCCGCCGTCGCCGGTAGTTGTCGTCGTCGTGGCCTTCGCCGTCCTCCTTGCTCCTTCCTCGCCGCCGCCCGCCGCGGCCCCTCCCCCCTTGCGAGAGGCGCCGCCGCTCCCGGGGCCGACGTGCGGGTGGCGCTCGGCTGGTGGCACCTCGAGCTCCAGTCCGACCCCGAAGGCGCTTCTGTCGCGTCTGCGCGCCGGGGTTCGCCCTCTCTCCTCCTCTCTCCTCCTCCTCCTCCTCCTCCTCCTCCTCCTCCTCCTGCTGCTGCTGCTCCTCCTCCTCCTCCTCCTCCTCCTCCTCCTCCTCCTCCTCCTCCTGCTCCTCCTCCCCCTCCTCCTCCTCCTCCTCCTCCCCTCCCCATCCCTTCCCCCTCCTCCTTGCCTGCTTCCTCCTCCTGCTCCTCCTTTCCTCTCCTCCTCCCCTGCTCCTCCTCCCCCTCCTCCTCCTCCTCCTCCTCCCTCCTCCACCTCTGCCTCCTCGCCCTCCTCCTGCTGCTCCTCCTGTTCCTCCTCGTCCTCCTCTTCCTTCTGCTCCTCCTCCTCTCTCTTCCTCCTCCTCCTCCTCCTGCTCCTCCTCCTCTGGATGCAAACATTATTTGAAGGAGAACCTGTTTTGAAGGCGCACACTTTTCCTCCAGCATGACTGCCTTCGGTGAGCAAACAACACGGTGGCACACGTTTCTGCCCCCGGCGGGCCACAGACCCTGGCCTTCAACATACATTGCTGCCTGATCCGATCGGCCCATGTCTCCAGCGAGATGCTCTTCCATTCCAGGCCTTCCTCGATTCTGGGCGCTGGGCCCTTCACCTGGCCCCAGGACTGTGGAAGACGGATCCGGGGCGCCAGCCTGCCCCCAGGGAGGATGTTGGGATCTCTTCGGCCGCGGATGGAAGACATCATACCGGCGGATGTCAGGGGTTCCATTTCAACAACCAGCAGGAGGAGGAGGAGGAGGAGGAGGAGGAGGAGGAGGAGGAGAGAGGAGGAGGAGGAGGAGGAGGAGGAGGAGGAGGAGGAGGAGGAGGAGGAGGAGGATTCTGCTACGAGGATTCTGCTATCCTGATCAGCCGTGCCATGAGCAAGAGAGCGCGACCGACGACGATGAGACAGCACCATCTCCCAGGCCTCTCCTGGGCGACATGGGGCTGCATCAGAAAAGGCGGTTGGTGGTCGGGTGCCGCCCTTCCCCCAACCGATTCAAACGCCCAGAGATCTTCCGAGGATCGCCCCCAGGACACTGAGACACGCCGTGGCAGCACGCTGCCACTGCCTGCTTCTCGCACGCACGCTTGGGCAGCCCCGCTGCCACTGCCTCCTTGCTTCCCAATTTTCGCACGAGTGGATTTCCTCCACTCCTGCTCTCGCACAACGGGCTGATCTCTGCACTGTAACTGAGGGTAGCTCGTCCGTGCCCTGCTATTTCGCTCCGGAGCCCGTTCGTTGGCCCCTGCACTTCTCGCACGCGCTGCTTCTAGCGAGTGTAGCTAGATAGAGTCGGGCTCCAACTTTGCCTCCCGCTTCTCCCAGCGCACGGTGGTGGCTAGGAAGGTGACGTTTGGCTCCAGCATTGCTTCCCTCTTCTCGCAGCGGCTTGCCCAGATCCCAACGCTGTAGCAGACGACGTCGGGCTCTGCCTTCGCCTCCCACTTTTCGCAGGATGGCGCTCTTCTCGCACACACTGTTCCCAGAGGTGTTAGCTCTGCCTTCGCCTCCCATTTCTCGCAGGGTGGCGCTCTTCTCGCACACACTGTCCCCAGAGGTGTTAGCTATACGACGTGTGGCTCCATCTTTGCCTCCTTCTTCTCGCAGCGGCTTGCCCCGATCCCAACGCTGTAGCTATCGTCATCGGGCTCTGCCTTCGCCTCCCAGTTCTCGCAGGATGGCCGCGGCAGAACATTGCTCGCTTTTCTCGCACGCACTGTTCCGAGAGGCGTTAGCTAGAAGAGACACTGGGGCTCCAGCTTCGCCTCCCTTTTCTCGCAGCGGCTTGCCCCGATCCCAGCGCTGTAGCTGTCGCCATCGGGCTCTGCCTTCGCCCCCCCACTTCTCGCAGGATGGCCGCGGCAGAACATTGCTCGCTTTTCTCGCACGCACTGTTCCCAGAGGCGTTAGCTAGAAGAGACACTCGGGCTCCAGCTTCGCCTCCCTCTTCTCGCAGCGGCTTGCCCTGATCCCAACGCTGTAGCTGTCGACGTCGGGCTCTGCCTTCGCCTCCCACTTCTCGCAGGATGGCCGCGGCAGAACATTGCTCGCTTTTCTCGCACGCACTGTTCCCAGAGGCGTTAGCTAGAAGAGACACTCGGGCTCCAGCTTCGCCTCCCTCTTCTCGCAGCGGCTTGCCCTGATCCCAGCGCTGTAGCTGTCGACGTCGGGCTCTGCCTTCGCCTCCCACTTCTCGCAGGATGGCCGCGGCAGAACATTGCTCGCTTTTCTCGCACGCACTGTTCCCAGAGGCGTTAGCTAGTAGAGACACTCGGGCTCCAGCTTCGCCTCCCTCTTCTCGCAGCGGCTTGCCCCGATCACAACGCTGTAGCTGTCGTCATCGGGCTCTGCCTTCGCCTCCCACTTCTCGCACGATGGCCGCGGCAGAACATTGCTCGCTTTTCTCACCCGCGCTGTTCCCAGAGGCGTTAGCTAGAAGAGACACTCGGGCTCCAGCTTCGCCTCCCGCTTCTCGCAGGCCTTCCTTCTCGCACGGACGACTCCCAGCGTTGCAGCTGATCGTGGCCCACCCGCGCATTTTGCACAGCGCCAGCGTCCGCTGCCACTGCGCGCTCCCTTTCTCGCACGGATTGCTCCCAGCGTTGTAGCTGATCGTGGCCCACCCGCGCCTTCGTCCCTGTCGCAGCGCCAGCTCTGGCTGCCACTGCTTGCTTTCTCGCAGCGTCAGCTCTGCCTGCCTCTGCTGGTCTTCTCTCGCGGCCTGATCCCTACGCTGTAGCTGATCACGATTCTGTTGTCCCCGCACTCTGCCCGCGGCGCCGCATCGGCTGGCGCCCCGGTCTGCCAGGAGGTGGAGGAGGGTGGAGACGGAGAGGAGGAGGAGGGGGCGGGAGGGGGCGGGCATCCTGGCAGCTGCGCGTTCGCCTGATCTCAGCGCTGTAGCTGATGACGTGGGGCTCCGCGCTGCTTTTTCATGACTCGGGCGCGCAGCGCCACTTCGAAGTTTGCGCGCCGCCTCGTCCAAGGGGCCCGGTGCAGGGGGGGGGGCCGCTCGGACGCGAAATGGCGAGGAGGAGGAGGAGGAGGAGGAGGAGGAGGAGGAGGAAGAGCAGGAGCAGGAGCAGGAGCAGGAGCAGGAGCAGGAACAGGAGCAGGAGCAGGAGCAGGAGCAGGAGCAGGAGGAGCAGGAGCAGGAGGAGCAGGAGGAGCAGGAGGAGGAGGAGGAGGAGGAGGAGGAGGAGCAGGAGGAGGCGGAGGAGCAGGAGGAGGAGGAGGAGGGAGGAGGGGTAAACCAATTCTGTCCGGCTGGCCCGGCAGCGTCGCTCCCGGCATGCCGACGATATCTCCAGCATGCGGCCCAGTGCCTGCACACGACGCCGTTGCATCTCCGGGCGCAGCCCGATCCAGTTCGATGCCGGCTCCGTGCCGAGATGCAGGCCGATCCGGCCCACATTCCGACACGTTCCGCGTCTCCGTTCGTAGAAGAAGACGAACGCCATAAATCAGGAGAGGAACAAACACACAGACACAATTAATCGTCGATTCCCAGGAAAAGATGGGAAAATATGGGAAGTGTGGGGTAAGACAGAAATCCAGAAAATATTGGAAAATATTAGGAATCATTTACTTGTGTGTATTTATTTGTGTGTCCTGGGGCCCCTTTAATAAACTAAATCTTTCGGTGCTCCGGGCGGATTTCTTGGATCCGCGTTGGACCCCCTCGGCGGCGAATCCAGCGCCGCCCCTGGCGCAGTCCGGTCGCCAGGGAGGGGGTTCCAGCGCAGATCCAAGAAATCCGCGCGGAGTGCCAAACAAAAATGTATATGGCGTTTTTCTTCTTCTAATTCGGTGCTGATGCGTCTTTTCATCTTCGCCAGGCATCTGGCGTCTTGAAGAGCGCAATGGGGGAGCTCTGTTCGCCCGTGTTGTCCTCTGGGGGCCTTCTTCGGGGTTTCTGGGGCCGTCAAAAGACGGCTCTCCATGAGATGCCGTCCCTGGGTTGGCAGTCGGACTTCGGGGACGCCGTGTCGAATAAGCAAGAAGGCGTCGGATGTCTGGGTCCTTCTCCTCCTCCTGCTCCTTCTCCTCCTCCTCCTCCTCCTCCTCCTTCTCCTCCTCTTAGGGGGGAACGCCAACAGACACACATAAACGCCGATTCCCATGACGTGGACGGGGAATACGGAAATCCAGAACATGTGTTAAGATGTTGGGAATGCAAGGATCTGTGTCTGTCTATTTGTGTCCCTGAACCCCTTCGTCCTCCTCCTGCCCAATTCATCCTTGGTTCGGCATCGGAGCGGCCGCAGGTCTGGGTCGCTCCACGCAGTGGGCTGGCCCCAGGTTGGTGCGACACAGACACACAAATGAATGTAGATTTCCAGGATCAGATGGGAAAGTGATGTAAATGGAGGGGGAGACGAAAACGCAGAAAATCTTCTTGCATCTTGGGAACGCTGGAGTTTGTACATATGTTTCTGTGTGTCTGCCCCTGGGCACCTGAATTACAACCTCCGCCACCCTGGGCCAGCAGCTCGGCGCCAGGGCGCGCCAGGCTCGAGCGGGAGAGCACCCTGCACAGACGGCGCCACGGTCACGGGCAGAAGCTGCAGAGAACCAGCGCTCATCCCTCCCTTGCCCCCTCCTCCCTCGCTCTTCCCTCCTCCCTCCTCTCTCGGGAGGGGAAAGAACACACAGACACAATTAATCGTCCACTTCCAGGAAGATATGGGAAAATGTGGGAAGTGGGGGGGAAGACAAAAGCTCCAAAAATCGGAGGTGAGGGGGTGAGATCAAAGTGGAACGGAGAGCCCCCCTACCGGGAAATCGATTTCGGTTTCGTGTTCGTGCGTGCCGTGCGTGCGGGCGAGGCGAAGCTGCGTGGGCGGGCGCGAGAAAGTCTCCTGTGGCTGAGGCGCGGCTGGACCAAATGTTTCCCTTCCGGGCGGCCGGTGGCGCGCGGTGTCCCGCGGTGTCCCGCTGGTGTCCCGTCGGTTCTCATGTGGCTGAGGCGCGGCCGGACCAAATGTTTCCCTTCCCGGCGGCCGGTGGCGCGCGGTGTCCCGCCGGTGTCCCGCTGGTGTCCCGTCGGTGTCCCGTCGGTCCCGATGATGATGTGATGATGATGATGATGATGATGATGATGATGATGATGATGATGATGATGATGATGATGATGATGATGATGATGATGATGATGATGATGATGATGATGATGATGATGATGATGTGGTGATGATGGCGATGATGATGATGTTGATGTGGTGTTGTTGATGATGATGATGACGTCGATTGTGAGATCGATTTGTGAATCGATAGTGAGACCGAATGTGAGATCGATTGTGAGATCGATAGTGAGATCGATTGTGAGATCGATAGTCAGATCGATTGTGAGATGATGATGATGATGATGGTGATGATGGTGATGATGGTAATGATGGTGATGATGGTGATGATGGTGATGATGATGATGACGATGATGATGATGATGGCGTCGATTGTGAGATCGGTTGGGAGTTCGACTGAGAGATCGATAATCAAATCGATTGTGCGATGCTGATGGTGATGATGGTGATGATGGCCATGATGGTGATGATGATTGTGATGATGATGACGATGTTGATGATGATGATGGTGATGATGATGATGATGATGATGATGATGATGATGATGATGATGCTGATGCTGATGATGATGACGATGCTGATGGTGATGTTGATGGTGATGTCGATGATAATGATGATGATGATGATGATGATGATGATGATGATGACGACGTCGATGGTGATATCGATTGTGAGATCGGCCACTCGTCGCCACGGCTGGATTCGCCTCGAACCGTTTCCTCCTTCGTTGTCTCCCTCCGCTTTTTCCTCTCCTCGCCTCCTCCCTCCCGTCCTCTCCCTCTTGGTTCCTCGTAGACCGAATGAGAGTTCGACTGTGAGACCGAATGTGAGATCGATTGCGAGATCGATTGTGATATCGATAGTGAGATCGACTGTGAGATCGGTAATGAGATCGATTGTGAGATCGATAGTGAGACCGAATGTGAAACCGAATGTGAGATCGATAGTGAGATCGATTGTGAGATCGATAGTGAGATCGATAGTGAGACCAAATGTGAGACCGAGTGTGAGATCGACTGTGAGATCGATTGTGAGATCGATTGTGAGAACGACAGTGAGACCGAATGTGAGACCGAATGTGAGATCGATTGTGAGATCGATTGTGAGATCGATAGTGAGATCGATAGCGGGATCGATAGTGATATCGATAATGATCTCGAATGTGAGATCGATAGCGAGATCGATTGAGTGAGACGTTGGTTCCCCCTCCCCCCTCACCTCCTTCTCACCCGCAGGGTGGTCGTATAGGCATGGGAGAATATGGGGAATCCTTTGATAGGTGTGTATCTATTTGTGTGTGCCCTGGGGCCCCTTCACCCTCGACGCAGAGGTCCCCGCCGTCAGATCCCCCGGGCCCCTCCCGACGGGGGCCCCTCTCGGCCGGCGCTCCGCGCCGCGCCTCGCCGCGGCGACGAGACGCCCCCCGGGAAGCACCCGAGGGCATCCCACTTGGGCTGCTCTCGGGTGGCGTCGGCTGGCCTCGCGCGCGCCGTTCCGATCACTTCTCGCTTCGGGCGGCGAAATCTATACATATCCACTGCTCCCCGGCCAGGCCCAGCCTGAACCTGGGAGCTGTGTATACGCCCTCCTGGCCGAGCCAGGAGGGCGTGACGTGTACACCGCTGCTGGGTTCAGAATGGGCCTGGCCAGGGAGCAGTGGATATGTATAGATTTCGTCGCCCTATCGCTTTGGGCCGAGGCTCCGACCTTGAACGTGCCAATCGACTTGGCGTCGCTCGGGCGTGGGCGAGGGCCGTCGAGGAGCATCCTTGATCATGTGGCGAAAAAGCCACGCACGAAACCGAAACAAAAACGCGGGGAAGGGACGTCCGAGCGATGGCGAGCAGAACCGTCAAAATGAAAATGAACCCCGCGCCAGAATCGCGAGCGTGAAGCCATGTCCACTACCAGCTTTTGGTGAGCAGCAAAAGTGCACATCGCTGCGCTGGCGCAACATCGTCGCCAGCAGCCCACCCGGTTCTGCCGCGGGGGCCCGGCCGGCACCCCCCGCAACTCCGACTTTCATCCATGCAGGGCGACGACCCCGGACGTGCGACGCCTGGACTTTTTCGGAGCGGGGTCTCCAGAGTTCCCGGCCCCTCCCCGAGTCTCAGGCGACGAGAGGAGGAGGAGGGAGGAGGAGGAGGAGGAGGAGGAGGAGGAGGAGGAGGAGGAGGGGGAGGAGGAGGAGGAGGAGGCTCTGTGCCCATCCACTGCTCCCCGGCCAGGCCCGCCCCGAACCCAGGAGCTGCGCGTGCGCCCTCCTGCGCAGGCCAGGCGGGCGTGGCGTGTGCACCTCTGCTGGGTTCAGGCCGGGCCTGATCAGCCGCTGGGAGCAGTGGGAAGTGTAGATTTCGCCGCCCTGGAGTTGGGCGTCGCGTGATGGGGGGGGGCGATCACTGGATTGGCAGCGAGGGCTGCAGAAGAAAAGGGGCCTTTGGGGGCCCCCAAAGGGGCCCTCTGCGGCCCAAGAGGGGGCCTTGCGGGCCCGAGAAGCGCACGGTGCTTCCCCCCCTCATTATCCTCGTCCCCCCGAGAGCCGGTTTCTCATCCCGAGTCGTCTTGTCGAAGGTCACGGGGCATGGCAAAGGCCCCTCTGGAGGCCGAAAGTTGCCAGAAGCCTGCCGCCGTGCCTTTTCACAGCGCGGGCACGTCTGGGCGTTGACGCCGTCGTCCCCGACGGCGGCGGCGGCGGCGGCGGCGTCGGCATCGTCGGCGTCGGCATCGTCGTCGCCGCCGCCGTCGTCGCCGTCGCCGCCGTCGTCGTCGTCGTCGTCGTCGTCGTCGTCGTCGTCGTCGTCGTGGCCGACAAGCGGGGCGCGGCGCGCAGGCCCTATGCCGCCCCGCGCCTTCCGGGTCCTCCACGCGCTCGCCATGGGCTCCTTCGGCGCCGCGGCCAGCCCGGGGGGCCGAAGGGCCGAAAGCGTGGGCGGCCGGAGAGCGGCGCGGGACACACGTCCCCGCCATGCCTGATGTCCTCCATGTCTCCCAGGCCTCCTCCTCCTCCTCCTCCTGCTCCTCCTCCTCTTCCTCCTCCCCCTCTGTCTCCTCCTCCTCCACCTCCTCCTCCTCCTCCTCCTCCTCCTCCCCTCTCTTGTCTCCTCCTCCTCCTCCTCCTCTCCTCCTCCTCCTCCTCCTCCTCCCCCTCCTCCTCCTCCCCTCCTCTTCCTCCACCTCCTCCTCCAGCGGCCGAAGAGCGGCACAGAATAAACGACCCGCCGTCCCTGAGATCCGCCAGGTCTCCCAGGTGGGGTCCGAGCAGATCCCCAGACCCCCTTCGGGTCCTGGAAGCATCACGACGGCAGCTTTTCGCAGCGTTCGGCCTAGGGCTGCCCTCCCCGGGCCTCGGGACCGTGACAAAAACGACTCAGGATGAAAACCCAGTCCCCGGGAAGGGGTCGAGAGCTCTAGGTCGGGAGCCTCGAGACGGGGGTCAATGCAAACGGGGGTCAGACAGGGCGCCAGATCTTGCAGGATCCTGCAGGGCCAGGCTCTCATTGACCCGGGTTTGGGTGCAGGATCCTGCAGGATCTTGCAGGATCCTTCGCATTGACCCGGGTTTGGGTGCAGGGTCTTGCAGGATCTTGCAGGGTTCTGCAAGCCCTGGCTGACCCGGGTCTGGGTTGACCCGGGTCAGGAGATCCCCGACTAGGGGTCGACGTCATGAAACGATCATGACGTCGGGGGGGTGGGTCCGCATCGCCGATGCATCGGCGAGGCGGCTCGATGTAGATCCCGGTTTGCTTCACGTCGACGTCACGGATGGATCGACGAGGTCGACGGTGCCTCTCCGATGCATCGCCGAGGTAAATCGTCGATACGGCGCTATCCTCCGACCCCATCTACTCGGGCCCCATTTAGGAAGCCTCTAGATAAACGTCCCCGCCATCTCTGCGATCCTGGCGTAGCAAATTTGCGCATCGCTCGATTTTGCCAAGTTCTGGGTTTTTGGGGCCATCACATATTAATCTGGCTGAACAAAAATGCCACAGGGAGAGATGGGGTCCAGGGCTCTGGCCGTGGGTTCTACCATAGCCCCGCAGCTTCGGATAAGAATGACAGGGCGGCGGGGTCGGCAGTTTTCGAGTCTCCGCAGAAGCCCACCGCAGGCGCCGATTCTTCTACACATTGCACAACGAGCCTGCGGCAGACGCCGAACGTTCATCAAAGCAGTGGGTGGGTCGCGGTGAGGGTCGCGAGGTGGGTCGCGGGATGGATCGCGGGTGGGTCGTGGGTTGGTCCCGGGTGGGTCGGGCGAAAGCGACGATTACAAGCTGACGATGTTGCAATTTCAATGTCTTCTTAGCCTTGAATGTCAGGGGACGGCGCAAGCTCAGGAGTTTGTGCCCTGCGGTGGCAAGTCGGGGCACAACTTCCTGAGACCTCCCCCGAACTGTCCCCGCACGGGCAAGTCTGAGCAGCAGCTGCACGTCTGGCTCCGTAGCCGTTCTGGCTCGGGCTATTTTCGGACGGGGCCAGGACGAGGATAGGTCGGCCCCAGAGCGTTCCGGAACGCTCTCAGAGCGTTCCGGAACGCTCTGGGATGGCCGCGGCGCCGAGACATCCTCCATGGAGAGCCGCCGGACCTCAGAGATTCTCGCGGCACACCCGCCCAAGTTGATCCTCGCCCCGGCTTCGTCTTTCTGTTTTGGCCCAGCCATCTTGCGCCGTGCCGTCGCCGCCGGCGCCGCAGCCGCAGCAATGGCGCTGGCACTGCGCCCCGACGCCGCGGCCGCCCAGCCGCGCAGCGTCACGAGGCGCCTCGCGCGCCAGAGGAGGCTCCAGCGCCTGGCGGCGGCGGCGCTGGGCGGCGCGGCTGCAGCTCTGGCGGCCTGTGGCGCCGCGCACGCCCCCGGCGGCGCGCTGCCCGGGCCTCCGGGCGGCGTGGCCCGTCGTGTGCTGCTTGGTGCGCCATGGGGAGGCGGGTCCTGCAGGGAACCCAGACCCCCTCGAGTAATGAAAAAATCATGACGGGAGGTTTTTCCTAATTTTCGGCCTCCGGGGGCCCTCACCGGGCCTCGGGAGCGTCAAAAAACGATTCAGGATGCAAAGCCGGTCATGGGGAAAGGGTCGGGACCCTTGGGGGTCGACGTAACGAAAAAATCATTACGTCGGGGGTCTGGGTGGGGAGGCGGGTCCTGCAGGGAAGCTCGGCGGCGCCACCCCCAGTGGGCGACGCCCCCCCGCCGTGGGGCGGCCCCCCCGGGGCGCCGCGCGCGCGCCGCGCAGTCCTGTCGTCCACGCTCCGTGGCGGGCGGTTTCTGGCCACCCAGACCCCCTCGAGTAGTGAAAAAATCACGACGGGAGGTTTTTCCTAATTTTCGGCCTCTGGGGGCCCTCACCGGGCCTCGGGAGCGTCAAAAAACGACTCAGGATGCAAAGCCGGTCATGGGGAAAGGGTCGGGACCTCTGGGGGTCGACGTAATGAAAAAATCATGACGTCGGGGGTCTGGGCATGCCGCTCGGGCAGCGGTGCACCACCAGATGGTTCTGCTGTAAATGTTCGGGCCGGGCGCGCACCGCCAAGGCGGACAGATGGTATACCAGTATGTCCCCGTGCGTCCTGGAAGCGGGCCCCGAGGGGTCTCCCCGGGCTCGTGCTCTCGGAGCCCTCCACTGGCTCTGGGGCGGTCAGGAAGCGGCTCAGGGAGGGGAACCTCGTCCTGGGGAAGGCCCCAGGGTCCAGGAGTTGCTTCCCTCAGGACTCGCTTCCCCCATGCTCGCTTCAGGAGGGGAAAAACACACAGACACAATTAATCGTCGACCCCACAGAAACTATGCGAAAGTACGGGAAGTGGGGGGGAAGACAGAAACCCAGAAAAGTATGGGAAAATATGGGGCATAGTTTTATTTGTGTGTATTTATTTGTGTCCTGGGGCCCCTTCATCGTTGAGCGATCCAAGAGAAGGGGTTCGTCTTCACTGACAGTGGCGCGCACGCTGCCCGCGCCAGGTCGCGCGTCAGCGCCCCTCTCTCTCCTCTTGTGGCTTGCCGCGTAAGGTCGTCGTGCCACCTCAATGCATTGTGTCTTCGGGGGGCCCCACCTGTCCCGAAAATTGGTGTCTTTTCTTGTGCACGACGCGGGCTCGATGCGGACTCGACGCGGATTTGGTGTGGATTCGGCACGGCTTCGACACGGATCCGACGAGGGCGGCATGGGTTCGACCCGGACTCGACGTGGATGGGGCCGCGACGGGACAGACAAGGTCCCCCGAGGATGCAGCACGCACGGGCCCCAAACCTCCACACCACCACCACCACCACCTCCTCCCTACACCCCCTCTCCCCCCTCCCAGGAATGAGGAGGGGCCGAGGAGGGCAGAGGAGGGAGGGGGGCATCGCCGTGGTGGTGGTGTATGTGTTTGGGGCCCGCAGCACGACCGTTCCTCCCAGACCCCCGACGTCATGATTTTTTCATGACGTCGACCCCCAGAGACCCTGACCTTCCAGGAGGGCTAAAAAATAGCACCCGACCTAAAAACCTACCCCAGAGCTATTCTACATCTTGGTTTTAGGCTGTTTCGTTTAGTGTTTTAGGTTTTTAGGTCTCCAGTGCTTAAACGTAGCTCTCTGGAAGGTCAGGGGATCTCGACCCATTCCCCGGGACCGGTTTTTCATCCTGAGTCGTTTTTTTGACGCTCCCGAAGGCCGGTGCGGGCCTCGAGCGGCTGAAAAGTTAGGAAAAACCTCCCGTCATGATTTTTTCATTACCCGAGGGGGTCTGGGCTGAGCGCCGCTTCCGGGGTCCCGAGGTGCGCTGGCGCCGGCGGCGGCGCGCTGCGCAGGCCCGGCGGCGGCGGCGGAGCCGAGCGACGCGGAGGAGGAGCTCCGGCGGGCGGAGGGCCTCGTGGCGGAGGGCGTGCGGCTGGAGGAGCTCGAGGGGCAGAAACCGGCAGCAGCATGCACGCCAGTCGTTGAGAGCAGGTGTTCTTTTCGGGAGATCGTAAGACTCGGGTAAGCCGGAACTCGGGTTTGCCGATTTTTTTGTTGACGAGCGCGTCCTGAATTTTGACGGTCCCGTTTTCGCGGGATGTCTGCAGCGGGAGCCCGCGTCAAGTGTCAGATGGGGTCTCGTCGTTTTTAAGATGGCCCCCGTCAGGCCAACCCGAGTCCCCCGTACCCGAGTCTTACGTCTCCCCGATCTTTGTGGGTTCCCAGATCCCAGTCTGCGTGCTTTGGGCGCCTGTCTGCTTCAAGGGATCGACTGGTGTCCTGCTTCCCTCCTCGTGAGGGGGCGGGCGGAGGCCCAATCTTCCTGTAATTTTGGGAGCTCCGCGCGGATTTCTTGGATGGGTCTGCGCTGGAACCCCCTGGCGGCGCCTCCGGCGCCGCCCTTGGCGCGCTCCGGGCGCCAGGGAGGGGGGTCCAGTCAGATCCGACCACCGCGCATTTTCTCTGGGTGGAGGGCAAAGGGTGAGATCTGGAATGCCGTGTCGATGGAGCTTCGAGGCGTGAGTCTGCAAGAGGCAAAGCACGAGACAGATTTCTTCTCGAAGTGCAAAAGCCCGCATGGATTTCACCCTGCGCCCTCCACCTTTCGGGGGAGCGTAAGACCCGGATTGCCAGGACTCGGATTCGCCATCGTTTTTTGACGACCGCGACTCGGATTTTGACGAGTAGGAGTTTCGTTGGATGTCTGCAGCGGGAGGCCTCGTCAAAATGCAGGCTCGGCCTCGTCATTTTTTTGACGACCTCGTCGGGGATTTCCGAGTCCCCCGTAACCGGGTCTTACGTCTCCCCGAACCTTCAGAAAATGCTCAGATCCAAGAACTCCGCGCGGACCTCCCGCAGTCTGTGTGCATACCGTGCCTTGCCCCTCCAGGAGCAGAGCGAGAGGCTGAGGATCGGTCGGCGGCGAGCAATGGGGGGGGAAGCGAGAAGGAGAGGGCCCCCCGCAGAAGGCGTCGGGGCTTCTCGGAGGCCCTCGGGCCTTCTGAGAAGTCCTCTGCGTCTTCGGGGGAGGCTTCGAAGACTTCCCAGAAGGCTGGGGAACTTCCGAGCCTTCGGAGAAGGCCCGCCCCTCCTCACTTCCCCCCCTGGCGCGCCGCCCAGAGGAGGGAGGCCGCAGAAGCCCTCGGTGGGGATAACCTCGAGCTGGACCTCAGAGGAGGAAGGAGTACCCACATCGCTACCCGTCCCTATATGTTGCCCGTCTTTTTGGGGGAGGCCCTCGTCGCCACCGTTGGATTCGCCTCGCAGTTCTGGTCAGAACGCGCCCGGGGAGAGGTCCGGGGAGTAGCGGTCTCGGTACCCTTGGGTTTCGCTAGGACAGGCAGATTCAGGAGTACATGAGGTTGCTGCAGGAGCGCGTCCGCGACCAGGAGGAGCTCTTCGCGCTAGAGGAGCAGCGGCTCGAGAACGCCAGGCTGAACATTATCAGAGACCTGCAAGCTGGTGCGGCAGGACAGAAAGGTCGAGCAGGCAAGCTGGTGCAGCAGCAGGAGAAGGTCCGCTCCGAGCGCCTCAAGCTTGTGAGCTCGAAGCGTGAACTGAAAGAGTCAGAAGAGCTGCTGCAGCAGGATGTGCAACGCCTGCTTCGCCGCGACCGTGCCTTTCGAATCGGGGGCGTGGTCGAGGCGCTGGAGGCTCTGAAGGACGCGTTCAGTGCCAAGGCGTGACCGTCAGGGCTGGCTGGACCTCAGGTGCCCTGTGTCGAGGCCGATCTCTTCTGAAGAGCGTGGTGGGCCGCCAGAATTTCAAGCAGTGGCGAAGCGTCCTGGCTCGTCTATAGCCCTACCGAACAATGATCTAAGAACCTGTTGTGGTCCCCACGACATGTGCTTAGAATATTTCTGGCTCGGACTGCCTTGTTTTATCACATCGGGTTTATGTTCTAAGAACTTTTTTGTTCTGAGAACATTTCTGGGTTCGAAGAACATTTGTGGTAGGACTATAGGAATGCCGGGACAGTCGGTCCCTGCTCAAGTATTTTTAAACATGCGACCAGCTCCTGGGCTGGGCAGGCAAGTCAACTTTATCAACTTCACCCCGCCAGGAGTACATTCGCATCGTCTGGTTGGTCAACATGGCCTGGCGACAGACCTAGGAGGTCATCGACCAGACGTGCGAGTGACCTTTTGCCGGAGTGCTCTCCGGTGCGGGCCCAATGGGGCCCCTGGATCGCTGAACGCGATGCGGCGGCAGTGGCCTGCGCGCCTGGGTTTTCGGCGCCCCCGTGCCCCCCTCGAAGGCCGTGCACCGAAGGTCACTCTTGCCTAGGGTCACTCTTGTGTGCGCGTAGCCGAGTTTACAGCATTCGTTCTTTATTAGCTGCCCACAAGGTGCGATGCATGCTCACAGATAGCAGGGTGCGCCTCGACGATCCGTTTTAGACGGCTTGCCTCGAGGGATGCAGCAGTAGCCGTCGGCAAGGGAGGCGTGCGTGGCCAGCGCACATCACTCCTTCGAAACGGTGCGATGAGTCCATTGGTTTGTCGTCGCGAGGTAGTCCACTATTCTCATTTGGGCCTTGCAATTTTTAATTGTGGCAGTGCTTGGCACAGGACGCACAGCCGGCGGCATCCTCTTCGCGTGCATCCTCTTGCTCGAATGGGGAGAGCGCGCTTCGTTCCGCGTGCAATAAAGAAGCAGCAACACAGCCACACGGATGGAGTGCGGTTCCTTTTCGACATTGGCGCTTTTGCCGGAGATTTCAGCAAGCATATCACCACAACCGTAACATTGCGCAACAGTTGATTTTACGGAGGGTCGTTCTAGTAACTCCTCAATCAGGGCTCGAGCTAAATTATGCTCTGGCGATTTCGTGTACCGTTTTCATTTTGATTTCGTTTCGCAGCGCGGCCTAGCTGTGGCAGGTCGCGCGGCCCCTGGCGCCCCTGGCGTGGTCGGAGGCGCCGCGGGTGCCCTCTTACGATCCCGACTGCCCGTGCTCGTCTGCCACCAAACCACCCCAACCCAACCCGAAGGCGGAGGAGGAGGAGGAGGAGGAGGAGGAGGAGGAGGAGGAGGAGGAGGAGGAGGAGGAGGAGGAGGAGGAGGAGGGGGGGGGGGGCGTCGGGAACACTGGACGAAACACGTCTAGAGCCCGTACTCCCCCAAAACCCGAGTTTTGCCTCTGCGGGTCGGGTTGGGGTGGTCTGGTTGGGTAGGCAGCAGACTTGGCATCGCTCGGACGTGTGCAGTTTTCCTTCGGCGAGGACCATCGAGGAGCATCCTTGATCATCTCGCGAACAAAAACACGCACGAAACCGAACACGTCCGAGCGATGGCCAGAAGAAGCCCGCGCCTCTGAGCGCGGATGGTATCTCTGCCCACTCGGCCGACGATGGAGCAGCAGGAGGGCGTTCTGGGGGCAGGGAGCCGGGTCGGCCGCCGCATAGGCTCGAGAACATGGGCCCGCCCCGCGGCCGAGCGGGCCCCGCCAGAGGCCCCCGGGTTTGGGCGCAGAGGCCCAGGACGCTCAAAAAGTCAGATGTTCCACCCCGTTGCTTCGAGTGGGGATGGACTGGTGAACTCATTGACCCCCGCATGGATTTGTTTTCGTCGACCATGCGTGGCTTTTTGCTCTTGGGTTCTATTTGCGTGTGCTCTACGTACCTTTCGCAGATTCGGCGCGCATTGGAGTTTTGAGGTAAATCAGCTCTGTAGCCGATGCCCTACTCGATTCCTTATTCTTCGAGGATGAGAAACGGCGTGAACCTGAAATGCCGGCGCTCCGCGCGGATTTCTTGGATTGGCGCTGGGCATCCGGGGCGGCGCTTCCGGCGCCGCCCGAGCTCGCTCCGCGCGGAGATCCGGAGGTGAATGTTTATGTCTGTGTATTCGCGTATTTGTTGCTCGCCATAACCCTCCTCATCCTCTTCTGGGCCGCCTCCCTCTGCTGTAGTGTCGCCAGGATCCAGAGGCCGTCCATCACTCTTCGAGTGGGCTGTGGCGTTGGCGGGTTGTTGGTGGCTTCCAAACCTCGCGTCGTCGTCGTCGTGCTGGGCGTCGTTCAGGTCATTCGGCAGGACTTTAAGTGAATTGCGCTTCCCGCTTTGCGGTGTGGGCCGGAGAGTTGCCCCCTCCTCTCTCCATGTAGGCTGAGCTGGAACGAGAACCTACGGTTCAGTCGGGCATGTCCCCCCACAGGAGGAATATTCACAAGTAGTCAAAAGATAGCCTGGGGACGAATTAGCCGTTTTTTTTCCAGCAGTTACTTGTTTGTAAATTTGCAATTTTCCTGCCCGACGTACAGTTAGGCACGTCAAGCAGCAAGCTGGCCCGTCAGCAGGTGCCCCCCCCACCCCGGAAGTTTCTTGTCCCCAGATGGCCCTGGGGACCCGCAGAAGCTATTGTGTACCCTGGTGCAAAGCCCAGAGGTCGTCGACTACAAGCGTGCCCCTGAATATCTTTGTTGTGGCAAGGTGTCCTACGTCGAGGAAGAAGCAGCGCTATGAGCATAAACTGTTGGCGCTCCGCGCGGAGCGCCATTCGTTTTTTGCTGTTTCTGGTGTGTTTGCTTCTTCTTATTCGTCTTCTACGCAAGCGTGCCCCTGGATATCTATCTATCTATATGTCTATATATATATCTATCTCTATATATATATATATATATCTATATATCTATCTATCTATCTATCTATCTATCTATATATCTATCTATCTATCCATCTATCTATATATCTGTCTATATATATGTATATATATATATATATATCTGTCTGTCTGTCTGTCTGTCTGTCTGTCTGTCTGTCTGTCTGTCTGTCTGTCTGTCTGTCTGTCTGTCTGTCTGACTGTTTGTCTATCTATATATCTACCTACCTACCTACCAACCTACCTACCTACCTACCTACCTACCTACCTACCTAGCTATATGTATATGCATATTTATATGTTGTGGCAATGTGTTCTACAGCCGACGCGTTGAATTGAGAAGCGCTTCGGCTTCGAAAACGGCCGAGCCTCCGGCGCCGCCCGTGCCCCCGTGCGCTCCTCGGCCCCAGCAGAGGCCGCTGTTCCTCGGGCCCTGCCACGGCCGAGCCTCCGGCGCCGCCCGTGCCCCCGTGCGCTCCTCGGCCCCAGCAGAGGCTGCGGTCCTCAGCTGGCGCTGCTTCGGATCGTGGGTCCACTGCCTCCTCCTCCTCCTCCTCCCCCTCCCTCCTCCTCCTCCTCCTCCTCCTCCTCCTCCTCCTCCTCCTCCGCCCCCCCCCTCCTCCGCCCCCCCCCCTCCTCCTCCTCCTCCGCCCCCTCCTCCTCCTCCTCCTCCCTCCTCCTCCCTCCTCCTCCTCCTCCTCCTCCTCCTCCTCCTCCTCCTCCTCCTCCTCCTCCTCCTCCGTCCTCCTCCTCCTCCTCCTCCCTCCCTCCTCCTCCTCCTCCTCCTCCTCCTCCGCCCCCCTCCTCCTCCCCTCCTCCTCCTCCGCCCCCCTCCTCCTCCTCCTCCTCCTCCCCTCCTTCCTCCTCCTCCTCCTCCTCCTCCTCCTCCTCCTCCTGCTGTGGGGTCGCCGCCGCCGCCCAGGTCCTCGACGACGCCCCCCTCGGCGGCGACGTGGGCATGAAGGGCCTGCAGGCGGCCAGGCGGCTGCCCGAGGAGACGGGCCTTTTGCCTTTTGGCCTGGGTGCGGGCCGCTCCGAGTCGGCACTGGCGCAGCGCCTCGCGGCCGTCGGCTGGACCGCCCGTCCTCGCCGCCGAGGTGCGTTCGATGTCTTGTCCTTCGCCGCCCTGGGCGGCGGCACTGAAGTCGGAGCCCTTCCTGCGTTCGTCGGGCCGCAGTTTGCCCCATCCTCAGTCTCCTTCGCGCCCTTCCTGTTCCTCCTCCCCCTCCTAGCTCTTCTCGTCTCCCCTTGTGGAGGGGCGAATCCGGTCCAAGTCTGGTGCCAAACGTGTTCCAAATTCGGTCCAGAGCAGGCCCAGATCGGACAGCGCTGGGGGCCACGTAGGCTCCCATGGAAGAGATGCCAGATGCTCGAGGGTCGACGTGTCAAGGTGGAGGCCTTCGGGAGTGTTTTGCTTGTCTGCTCTCCTCCTCCTTCTTCTTCTCCTTCTTCTTCTCCTTCTCCTCCTCCGTCCTCCCTCCTCCCTCCTTCCTTCGTCCTTCTCCTTCTCATCCCCTCCTCCTCCTCCTCCTCCTCCGTCCTCCCTCCTCCCTCCTTCGTCCACCTCCGTCCCCCTCCTCCTCCTCCTCCTCCTCCTCCTCCTCCTCCTCCTCCTCCTTCCCCCGCCTCCTCCTCCCCCTCCTCCTTCCTCCCCTCTCCTTCCTCCTCCTCCTCCTCCTCCTCCTCCTCCTCCTCCTCCTCCTCCTCCTCCTCCTCCCCCTCCTCCTCCTCCTCCTTCCTCCTCCTGCTCCTTCCTTCCTCCTCCTCCTCCTCCTCCTCCTCCTCCTCCTCCTCCTCCTCCTCCTCCCCCCCTCCTCCCCCTCCGCTCGCCCGGGGCGCGCACGCGAACAATGCGCTCCAGCTCCTCCCGCGGTGCAGCAAGACGGACGCCAGCGGCTGCCGCCGCCCGCTCTCCTCCGGCGGCCGCCCGACCGCCCGAGCCCGCGCCCGGGCGGCAGCGGGCCAGCCCATGGGGCACATCCTCCTCCTCCTCCTCTCCTCCTCCTCCTCCTCCTCCTCCTCCTCCTCCTCCTCCTCCTCCCCCTCCTCCTCCTCCTCCTCCTCCTCCTCCTCCTCCTCCTCCTCCTCCTCCTCCTCCCCCTCCGCTCGCCCGGGGGGCCCTGGGGCACCTGCACGCGAGCGTCACGAGAGGTTCAACACATCGGTATCCATACCTCTAGCCTCTCCTCGTTTTCACTTTTTTGGGGCCTCCTCGGAGGCCCTCGTCGCCACCGCTGGATTCGCCTCGACGTTCTAGTCAGAACGCTTCCCTGGAGAGGTCCAGGGAGTAGCGGTACCGATACCTTCTCGTTTCCCCCCAGGAAGGATCGGTCCTTGGTTTTCCGTATTAGCAGGCACCGGGAGCCTTGAGACGGGGGTCAGTGCAAACGGGGGTCAGTTAGAGCGCTGGAGTTTGCAGGATCCTGCAGAGCCAGGGGTGCACTGACCCGGGTTAAGCTCGCAGGATCCTGCAGGATTTTTGTTTGTGCGTTTTTCTGCAAAGCCCGACGGTCTTGGGCTTGCATTCCCGATCATAGATTTATTCGGATGCAAATCTTGGGAGGTCAAATTCTTATCTTGCCCTGGTCCGAAATCCGGCTAAATCTCGACTCATCCTGCGCAATCCGGCTTTAATCCTGCTTAATTGCGCTTAATCCGGTTTTGTCCCGCTTAGTCCGAGGCCCGCTCCAGCGTAACAGCCCCCCAACGGGGCTTCATCCTCCTCAGCCCTCCCGACGAAGACCTCCCAGTAGTTGCTCCCTAAGATTCAATTTGGTTGTTTGGTTCCTCTGCGATGCCCGTGGTGGAAACCAACACGCACCGTGTTCAAGACGTCCGTGTTCACACGCCGCGTGTGGTTTCAGCGTATAGGCCCACCTATCTGGCGAACGCATCGCTTCAGAGCCCCGAATCATCAGGGGTTACTCGGGTCAGGGCTAACTCGGGTTCCTTTTTCGGGATGCCAAACCCGACTTACCCCGGACCCGACTTACCCCGGATAGTTCGGGCGTCCAGAGCCCCGAATCATCAGGGGTAACTCGGGTCAGGGCTAACTCGGGTTCGTTTTTCGGGAATCCAAGCCCGCGTTACCCCGGACCCGAGTTACCCCGGATAACTCGGGCGCCCAATCGCTCCAGACGTACGCTTGCGGTCTCTGTGCTGAGCTCCGTGTCGACGCGCCACAGGTCGCGTGTTGTCACTAACTCAAACAGACGCCCAATCCCAAAAACTCAGGGGCCAAGACAAAACGCAGACACCTCGAGACTTCGGGGAGGGAGATTTTGGGGTAGGGTTTTACCAGGGTGACGACGACGAACGCAAAACATAGCCCGAAATCTTTGGCCGATCTTCGAATCCTCGGCGAGTCCGTGATTTTGGGATTGGGGATGTGTTTGTTCGTGGTCATGTTGCGAATATGTGGCGGCCATGGCCTTGAAGGGATCTATTGGCATCCTGGTAGAGCCCACGACGGTTCTTGGCGCTGAGCGTGTCCCAACCAGCCCGTCCAGCAACGATGCCCAGGTGAGCTGCATCGATCAGGGAAGTGTGGGAGCGCGCAGTGGAACAAAGACGTGGGGGAGCAGCCGTCAAACCGAACATCGGGATCTGCTCGAGCAGGCCCAGGAGTTCACCATAAATGCATTCGCGGGTCCTTGGATTTGGGAGCCTGTTGGCAGCATGCTTGGGCCATTTGGGAGGCATTCGTGGGGCCCTCTCTGGGGTCCTCTTGGGGCTCGCTTGGAATCCTCTTGCGCGCCCTGGCGGCGCTCTTGGGGCCATCTCGGAGACCATCGATCAAAGAGGGGGCGGGGCACCTAGGACCTAGTTTTAGTCGGGCCAGTCCCTCTACAGGGGGGATACTCCAAAATAGTAAAAAAAAAAATAGTCTGGGGACGATTTTGTTTATTCTTTTTTTGACCATTCGGAGGTACAGTCGGGGTCCTGAAGAAGGAACCCTTTTCGTTGGGGAGGGGCTCCGTGTTCCTTAAGTGTTCCGCAGCTTGCCTTGGAAAATAAGGGCCTCGTTCCTTATTTAGGGTTCCTTAGGTCAACGCCTCGATTGCATTTTAGGAGTATTACTGAATTTGTCGGCCGAAATCCCCCTGCAGGGGGACAGGCCCGACCTAGACCTAGTCACGGCCCCCCCCGTCGGACGGCGAGCCAGGGCCTCATGGCCGTCTCGGGGCGAGCTCTCGTGAGCTGGAGCTCCGGAGGCCAGAAAGGGCGAGAATGCCACCATTCCCAGAGATCCAACGCATTGAAAAAAACAGGACGGAGATTTTTCGCTAATTTCGGCCCCTAGGGGCCCTCGCCGGGCCTCGGGACCGTCAAACAACGACCTGGGATGAAAAACTGGTCCTGGGGAATGGGTCGAGACTTCCAGGGACCGCGTATTGAAAAAATCACGACATCGGATCTCTGGGTTCCCCACGCAGTGCCATGGCACTGAGGGGTCTTCAGTTTTGCTCCGGAAGGGCGATCCTGGGGGCCTCTTCCCGCCTTGGAGCCCCGGAATCCAGAAGACCAGCGAGGACGCCACCATGCCCCAAGCGGTGCTCTCGCACCGCCTGGGGTCCTTCCGCCTCGCTTCCCAGGGGAGCTGGATCGCCTCCCCGGGTCCTCGCCGCTGCCGCCCGTGCTGCCTCGTGGGCGCGTGGGCGGGCTCGCCACGCTGCCGCCGGCGCCGCCTCGAAGGGCGCCTCGCAGGCGCCCAGTGTGCTGGGTGGGTTTGCCGAGGATGCGCCACGTGGTCTGTGCCGCCCCGCGGGCGCCGCTGTGGGCGCCCCGTGGTCGCCCCGGGCGCTGGGTGCGTTTTTGCCGAGGAATGTTTGTGGCCTCTCCGGGGCCCCGAGGTGGGGTCTGAAGACGATCCGTCCACGGAGGTCATTCTGAGACAGCCAGTGTTTCGGAGAACGTGGACCTGAGTGGGCGTGCGAAGGCTGAGGATGCGAATAGCGAGATCACGGATGGAACTGAGGAATTGTGTCTGCATCGTCGTCATGTTCGTCCTTGTCGTTGTCGTTGTCCTTGTCGCCGTCAGATCCAAATCCGCCCTCGATTGGCCCTCCTGGGATCCATCCTGGCCAGCCTTCCGAGCCGCGCCCGGCCTTGGCGACGAGAGCCTCCAGAAGCGCCGAGCACGCCCTCCACGCCGACGACGACGACGACGACGACGACGACGACGACGACGACGTCGACGTCGACGTCGACGTCGACGTCGACGTCGACGTCGACGACGCCGTCGTCGTTGGGAGGCTGTTCTCTTATGTCCGACAAGGGGCTGGGCTGACGGGCCCGGCCGCCGCCGCTCCCCCCCCCCCCCCCCCGGATAGCCTTGCTTTCTGCCGTTTCTGGAGGAGGAGTGAGGAGGAGACGGAGATGGAGGAGGCTGAGGAAGAGAAGGAGGAGGAAGGAGGAGTGAGGAAGGAGAAGGAGATGGAGGAGGAGTGAGGAGGAGAAGGAGAAGAAGGAGTGAGGAAGAGGAGGAGGAGGAGGAGAGGGAGCGGGCGGAGGAGAAGGAGGGGGAGGAGGAAGAGGAGGAGGACGAGCAGGAGGGGGAAGGGCGGAGGGGGAGAAGAGAGACGATGATGGGGGGGTGCGCGGGTTGCCGGTGCGCGCAAGGCCTCCCCCGCGCCGGGATGCCTAAACTTTGCAGGCTGCGCAGGTCCGAGAGGGGGTACGCTGCACTGGTGCGCGCGGGCATGCTCGGGGCTGCCCAAATAGAAGAAGAAGAAGAAGAAGAAGAAGAAGAAAAAGAAGAGGAAGAAGAAGAAGAAGAAGAAGACGAAAGAGCCCCATAAGCAGAGACTGTTGGCGCTCCGCGCGGACTTCTTGGATCCGCGCTGGGCCCCCCTCTTCCTTCTTCTTCTTCTTCTTCTACCGAAGCGAAAGGGTTGCAGCGGAAGCCCATGCCAAGAAAGACGCTGCTTGCCTTCAGGTTGCCCTGGGTTTCTTGGGGTTCGATGGCCTTGCGACGGGAAGCGTGGCGCTCCCACACCAAAATAATCCATGGACGCCCCGGGGGTCTCAGGGTGGGGTTTCTTGTGGGAGGTCTCCTGTGGTCGAGCTACTTCAGGCGGGGCGCTGACGAAGGAACCTTGTTCGTTGGGGAGGGGCTCGGTGTTCCTTGATTGTTCGACAGTTTGCCTTCTGTTTTCCTGAAGTTTTCCATGGGGAATCGAAGTTTAACTTATGAGAAAACGCCCCGACGGTACTGCGCTGGTGCGTGCGGGCGTGCGCGGGGCTGCCCACGACGACGAGGTCAGGTCATGGGCCGGCTTCCCCCCCTAACCTCGCAGGCCTGGAGATTGACACCAACACCAATATCGTCGGTGTGCCTCCACCGATGGAGGAAGATCCCGATCTCGGTGATGGTGGTAATATTCTGGCTTCCAAGGTGGCCGAAAGATTACCACCAACACCGAAATCTAGGATCATCTCCCCCCTGTGGTGACAACCCCCTGTGTTGGTGTTGGTGCCCATTTCCAGGCCTCCAATAACCAGGATGATCCTGGTGATCGCCGAAAGTTGCAAGAACGCGGGACAGCGGGGGATCGCTTCCTTCGTCCCTCCTCTTGGCATCTCTGGGAAGTTTTTTATTGTTAAAAAACAAAAAAAACTCGGCGAGGACCATCGAGGAGCGTCCTGGACCATCGATATAAAAAAGTGCACGCGCGATGCCGAGAAACGCACGGGGAATGGGCGTCCGAGCGATGGCGAGTCCTCCGACGACGTCCTTGGCATCGCTCGGACGCGTGCATGTTTCCTTCGGCGAGGACCACCGAGGAGCATCCGTGATCATTTGGCGAAGAAGCCACGTACTCGGAGGGCACCAACTATACACCAACACCGATCCTGGCCCAGGATCACCCTGGGCCCAGGATCGGTGTACATGCCTTCTTGCGCAAGGCAGGAGGGCGTATACACCGATCCTGGGCCCAGGGTGATCCTGGCCAGGATCGGTGTTGGTGTATAGTTGGTGCCTTCCTACGTACGAGACCGAGACAAACACAGGGAACGGACGTCCGAGCGATGGCCGGCGTCGACAGCGGCAGCGCCGACGCCGCCGCCCGCCCCTGCCCGCAGGCTGCCACCTGCTGCTGTCGTCCCACCACGCGGTGCTCGTGGCGACCTGCGCCCTCAGCGCGCGCTCCTCGCCCGCGCCTCGGCGCGGCCAGCGGGCGCCGAGCCGCCGCCGTCGCCGTCGTCGCCTTTGCCGTCGTCGGTCGTCGTCGTCGTCGTCGTCGTCGTCGTCGTCGTCGTCGTCGTCATCGTCCTCCTCGTCCTCGTCCTCGCCCTCGTCGTCCTCGTCCTCGTCGTCCTCGTCCTCGTCGTCGTCGTCGTCGGAGTCGGAGTCGGAGTCGGAGTCGGAGTCGCAGGAGGAGGAGCAGGAGGAGGAGGCGGAGAAGGAGGAGGAGGAGGAGGAGAAGGAGGAGGGGGAGAAGGAGGAGGTGTAGGGGGACAAGGGGCGGAGCGTGAGGAGGAGGAGGAGGAGGAGGAGGAGGAGGAGGAGGAGGAGGTGTAGGGGAAGAATCTCTAGGCCCCCCACATTGGGTCCGAGTAGAGTCGGCGATGTGGCTCGATGTGGAGCCCGATTTTCTCCACGCCGGCGTCGCCGATGCGTCGCCGATGTCGCCCATACATCGACGTGGGAGGCTGTCGACGGCTACGGCAACAACGGTCACAGCAGCCCCGCCAGCATCGAGGAGTCCTTCGCCCCTTCCTCCTTTATAATCTGGTGCTCTGGGATGTGGCCCAACTTGTGGCTTACCGTCGTGACGTGGCAGGGCTGCACGCCCAACAACATTCACACTTGAAGTTGTTGCATATGGCACGGTTAACCTCCGCGTCTGCCGCCGACGGGGCGTGGTCGCGCGCACCTCGCTGTTGCGTACGTTCGCAGAGGTGTAGGTGGAGAGATGAGGAGCGGAAGCAGGGGGGAAGGAGGAGGACGGGGAGGAGGAGGAGGATGGGGAAGAGGAGGAGGAGGAGGAGGAGGAGGAGGAGGAGGAGGAGGAGGAGGAGGAGGAGGGGTAGGAGGGGGAGGAGGAGGAGGAGGAGGAGGAGGAGGAGGAGGAAGATGAATGGGAGAGAATGAGGAGGTGGAGGATAACCCGCTCGGCAGGATGTCGGCCTTCTGGACCCCCGGTGCTCGTGCGTCGGCAGTGGTGGCGGGACCTGGGCGAGTCGGAGCACTACCGCCACATGAGGGGTTTGGTCCTGTGCGTCCACCTCATCACATCGTTGAGGCTGAGGCTATCATGTATTTCCCCCCAGGGCTCCAAATGCGGTGACCCTCCCTCCTAGTGCTCGTTGAGTGCTGAGAATGTCCCAAGCAAGAGGTGAAGGAGGAGAAGGAGGAATATGTTCCCTGTGCCTCAGCGGCTCTTTGCGAAGAGCTCCGAGACCCGACGCTGCGTAACAATTGAGCCGGATCGATCTGTGATGGCCTCGGGGCCCTAAACACGGCAAGTCGCCCGGTGTGAAGATTTTGTTCCGCCGGGGTCGCCCGGCCTCAGATTAGGGGAAACCGCCCGGTGCGAAAAAATGCAACGCCCAGATCTAAGGGAGCCACGATGGTGCGGGGTTGGGACAAGGAGACTCATTTCCAGAGCGTTCGGGAACGCTCTCAGAGCATTGCGGGACGCTCTCAGAGCGTTCCGCGTCGCCCGAGACATCGAGGCATCATGCAGGACTGTCAGACCTTAGAGATTCCCGATTTATCCCCGTCCGATTTTGTCCACGTCCCGGCTTCGTTTCAGATCTGCCTTGTCAAGTCCCTCGTCCACCCTGTCTGGAGCAGCGATCGAGGAGGATAGGCATAGGGGTGGAGGCACCGACCCCCCACCACCCACTGATATCCGACAGGGGCCTGATAGCCCCATCGGGGGCCTGGCGCCGATCCATCGGCGACGTATCGCCGATTCCAGGTCGCAGCTCCCCCCCCCTGAGCCAGTCCCCCTCCCTGCCGTCGCCCCTCGCTCGCTGTCGCCGCGCCGTCCGCGCGTGCTGCTTCATGCCGAAGGCCGTGCGGAGGCAGCCCAGGCCGCGCTCGTCGCTCTTCGGGCGCGCTCCGCTCCGCTCGGTGCTCAGCCCGTCCTGGTCCTTCCCATCCCTCCTCCCTCCCTCCTCGTTCTCCTCCCTCCTCCCCTCGCTCCTCGTCCTCCTCCTCCCTCTTCCCCTCGTTCCTCCTTCTCCTCCTTGTCCTCCTCCTCCTCCTCCTCCTCCTCCTCCTTCTCTTCCACAGGAGCCTGCTATTGCAGGGATCTGGCCCCTCTTTTCCGCAGGCGCGCCCCCACCTGCTGCTGCCGCCGCCGATGTTGAAGAACCCGCCCCCTCTAGGTGAGTGTCGCTCCTCCTCTACCGTAGCCGTTCTGGCTTTTGGTGATGTTGATTGCGCCTCCGGCAGAGCGCGGACAGACACATTGAATCGTCGATCCCCCGGAAAATATGGAAAAACATGGGAAGTGGGGAGGAAGGCGAAAACCTAAACCATATGGAAAAATCTGTGGAATCCTGTTATTTGTGTGTATTTATGTGTGTGTCCCAGGGCCCCTTCATTTGATCCGAGGCCAGACCCGAGGAGTTCGTCTGAGATCCTACTTGAGCAACTGCTTCGCTTGCCTGCGCATCAGCCTGCGGAGGGAGACTCACGCAGGTCCAGTTCCTACGCGCATGCCTGCTGAACAGAGTGTTGGAAACATCCATGAGGGATGCACGAGTCCGTAACCGCAGAGGTTCTTTAATGATGCACCCCCCCCCCTTAAGCTCTTGGCGGGGAGTAGAAAACTCGTCCCTCCTACCCCTCCCTCCGTCCTCCTCCTCCTCCTCCTCCTCCTCCTCCTCCTCCTCCTCCTCCCCCTCCTCCTCCTCCTCCTCCTCCTCCTCCTCCTCCTCCTCCTCCTCCTCCTCCTCCTCCTCCTCCTTCTCTTCCTCCTCCTCCTCCTCCTCCTCCTCCTCCTCCTTCCCTCCCCCAGGCGGAGGCCGCCAGGCGTTGAGCGATGGGATTTTTGAGCGATGCATCCGCCGACGAAAATAATTAATTTCCAACTATTGTCGGGGTCCCAATCCGTCAATAAGCTGGCGAAGCAATTATTTATTTCCAATTCTTGCCCGGGGTTAATTAAAGACCCTTTGGGGCTATGCCATGCCAGGATGACCTCCCTCATGGCATCATCGGAAGGATTATGAAGACAGCGACGCTTCGCCAGCGACTTCTCCCGTGCGGACCCTGCCCCCGAGGCGCAGGCCACCCCCACTTCTAGTGTCGAGGCGGTCGCGCCATGGTGTTCGCGCTGATGGCAGTCAAGATCGGGCTGTTCGTGATGCAGGTGATGAGGCCCGCAAACGTGACGCTGAAAGTGGCAGATCCAGTAATTTGCGGGGTGAAGGCATGCCCGAAGGTGCCAATGAGCTCGCGCTCCTCGCTGCTGCACTCGGTGAAGGACCCATCCTCCGAAAAGTGCTGGGGGCCAGCCCACTTCACAAAGCTGGCTGTTGGTGTGGGCATGATGGTGGCAGCAGTGCCGCTCGTCTTGCGCATGGGCCTGATGAAGAACACCCTGCGCTGGCACGTGCCAATGGGTCTGACCGTATGGCGTCCGAGGCTGCCCTTGAGGAAGTTGTTCGTGCCGCTGGTGATGCCACTCAGGGTATTCTCAACGGGTCTGCTCACTCCCGTCGAGCCACCGCAAGATGCGATTGGTGTTGCCCCTGGTACTCCTGCGCTGGACCCGTGGTCTGCTGGGATGGAGCGCTCGCAGATGCATAGATCACAACTATGTTGAGCGACGTATGTGGAGCAAGTTGCGCGGACCGGCGACCGCGCGATGTTCCCATAGGTCCAAGGGCAGCGTATGGCTCAGATGTCTCAGGTCTGTACCAAGAGCTTGCAGGTGCACTTGCCAAGTGCTTCGGCCTCCGCGACCAAGCACGCCTTCGACAAGGTCGGCGCGATGGTGCCTACGAAGATCTCTACTAGCAATGCTCACATGGACCAGACCAGGCTGGTGAAGCAACAGTCTAAGACGCAAGTGGATACAGGAGCACAGTCGGCAGCTTGTGTTGACCCCCTGGATAACGGGCGCAACTTTGCCCAGGCCGCTCTCACCCTTTACAGGTTTCAAAATGCCACGAGTGCGGGCCGGGGCAGGCAGGCTGGCCCTCGCAAGGTTTCAGTCGTAGCTCGCGATGAGATGTCTTACGTGCCCGCGAGGGAGGCTTTGCCGGAAAGGGGCGGGGGGGGGGGTCGGGAGTCTCGAGGCGGGGGTCAATGCAGACGGGGGTCAGCCAGGGCGCCAGATCCTGCAGGATCCTGCGAAGACCCCCTCTGGTTGACCTGGGTTAGCGAGCCGCTCGTGGCCGCGAGGCGGCCGCGCATATTGGCTGACCCTGGTTTGTGAGGACCTGCGTTGCAGTTTTTTTCCTGCATTGCAGTTTTTGGTTTCCTGCTGGCCCGGGTCTGGATTGACAGGGGTCGCAAGATCAAGCTGGAATGCCCGTGGCGCGTGTTCCTGGTAATCGCGACATTCTTGTCCGCGTCAGCCGTCGTAAGAACCGTTGTGGTACTCCCCGTCGGGAGTCGTGCGAAGCTCTGAAGACTGGGTATGAAGCCAAACATCGTGCCCCATACAAGACTCACGTGGACGGGGGCGCTGCGGTGCTCACTTATCAGTAGGAGCCGTTCGCAGCCGCGATATCTGAGTTTCTGGGGTCGCCAGCGACGACGCATGCGTCGTGGAACGCCCGTGCTTTTGGCCATTGCGACGCTGCTGCGACGGGGCGGCGCCATCGTGTCCTGAGCGCCGCGGCGAAGCCTGCCGCGCTGGCGCGTCTCCGGAAGACGCGGGGCAAGCGCGCGACTTTTGAGTTGGCCCAGCGAGCTGGCTTGTCGCGGCGCGTCTTTGCTTGGCATTCTCCAGGGTCCCGCGAGGGCGGGGTGGCAACGCTCGCCCCGGTCTCGGCTGCTCCTCGCCCACCTGCGGGCGCCCGCCCCGGCCTCGGCTGCCCCCTCGTCGCGGGCGGGGTCTTGCCAGTGACAAGCGCCACCCCAACTTATTGTTGGTGGCATTGAAACAGCCGCGGCTGCGATATTTCCAAGTCTCCCCCTCAGGCCATAAACCGCGCAGTCTTGTCACCAGCTTCGGCGGCGCGTGA